GAATGAATACATTAAATGTATTTGCGAAACAAAAACATGAGTTTTAAGTAAAGGAACATATTCTCGCCCATGGGCCTGCCCATGGGCCTGCCCATGGGCCAAACCTTTTTCTCGCCCATGGGCGAAATATTTCAATATCGCTATAAAATCGTTGAATTAAGTTAAAATGAGTTTAATTTTGTGTCATGATACTTCAATAAATACATTTAATGTATTTGCGAAACAAAATCATGAGTTTTAAGTAAAGGAACATATTCTCGCCCATGGGCCAAACCTTTTTCTCGCCCATGGGCGAAATATTTCAATATCGCTATAAAATCGTTGAATTAAGTTAAAATGAGTTAAATTTTGTGTCATGATACTTGAATGAATACATTAAATGTATTTGCGAAACAAAAACATGAGTTTTAAGTAGAGGAAAATATTCTCGCCCATGGGCCTGCCCATGGGCCTACCCATGGGCCACACTTCGCCCATGGGCAGGCCCATGGGCGACATAGTCTAAATATTGAGTTTTTAAACAATTTTTTTTTCATTTTTTCTTCCTTGGTATGTTCCCATGAAAACGGCATGTTTAATTTTGTAAATACCTTTAACCGAGACTGGGCAAAGAGTGTAGAGTTTCTGGACTTTTGGGTTTCCAGAATTAAAATGGGACGTGTTAAATATTATTGTCATTTTGAGACAGAAAATATATAGATCTAGAGATTATTACACGAGTATGTGTCATACTGATTTTACGAAACGGGCGTCAGAATTGTTGTATTTCCTGAGCGAGAGAGAGGGTTATACATGAATTCTTACACGTGTTTTTTCTGACCCTTTGAGTCAAGTAAAGTACGATCTTACTGAGAAACGTAACGTAATCTATGTTTGTTTGTTTGTTGTTTAACGCCGCACTCAGCAATATTCAAGCTATATGACGGCGGTCTGTAAGTAATCCAGTGATTGACAACATGAGCATCGATCCACGCAATTGGGATACGATGACATGCATCAACCAAGTCAGCGAGCCTGACCACCCGATCCCGTTAGTCGCCTTTAACGGCAAGCATGGGTAGCTGAAGACCTATTCTGACCCGGATCTTCACGGGCCACAAATCTGTGACGCCATGAACAAAAAGTAACGTCCTACGTATTGTCCCAACAGTGAAATAATCTGTGATTAGCATATTAGCGATGTCTAAAATGTACATGTACAAATATCGGAAAGGTATTTAAATATTTCTACCGTTAGAGGTAATACGTTAATGCCCGATCTTTGTCAATTCGTCTCCCCTCCACAAAAATATGCAAAAACCAACTGAAGTATAGAGGAAAAGAAATACATTACTGATCCATACATTATCTGGGGAGAGAAGGGGGTGTCGGTCAAAACAACTCCCCTTTCTAAGTAAACTGCTGGGCAAAAGAATCTATAGACTTGATTGTATTTGACCAACACAACTATGATACCCCTAGGCTATCAAATACATCCACGTCGAATAACCATTTCTTGTTTGTTTCATTTTAGCCACCATTACACACGGGTATACAGGGTTAGAAACTAACAGTTTTTGTCCACTAGTCCTTATAAGGATAACGTATAGCAAAACCCTTAAAATGGGCTAATTTCTGCTAGTCCTTAGGATACCTTTACTATTGGGCAGTTTTGTAAGGACTATAGGACTAGTACCAATTTCTAACGCTGGGTATACACCTCCTTTCGCCCGGTATTTTTGTCTATTTTATCACTAGCCTGACTAACAATGGCTTATAATCAGATTTTAGCCATCATTCAGCGGACCCTGACAACTTAACATTATCAACGAGTGTGTGTTTTCAATGTTATTATGTACCATGAACCTGTGTACTAAGATATCCATATGTCAGTATATGTAAATATATTAATTACACATATGTTGAAATAGCTCCAAAATATATGATTTGATGATTTCAAAAAGGTAATATATAAGACATATACATGAATACAATACTCGCTTCATGCTTTAAACACAAAGTGCCCAATTCGCGACTGTTCTGTAGTCGCGTGGCAAAATAGCGAACGTCACTCGGTTCGTCTCAATCCACAATGCACGTGGCGGATTCAGACGATCGGGCCATGGTCATCGCGTACATACCCACCAGAGTTAATTCCCTTGATTTTAACCGCAAGCGGGCTTCCCATCTGACGACAATGAAATTGTTATGTGTTCAAAATTAGCGCAAGACGTTTCTGACAACTTCTAAAAACACTTAGAACATATTAAATTATTTCAACGAGCAACTAAATAGTGCTTCCTTGGCCAACTTTCGTGATGAGCTAGACATTCATTCAGGTTTATAGTCCTCTCTCCACTTTAAATAGAAACACGACGTATCGTGATGATTAGTTAACGAAGATAGCTGCATGTATGCTAATGCTTCTGAAGTGAAAACAAGCCATTGCGGCGATAAGAAATATTAATCACAGTAATGACAGAAATTGCAAAGTGCGTTTTTCAAGAAATATCCATTTTGCTAGCGATAAATATAATTGAGTTTTGATCGCGCGGTTAATATATATAATGCGAAAGAGGCAGAAATAAATCTTGGAAGGGCCCTTGGACTTTTGGTCCATGAATCTGCAACAAGGCAAACATTTTCAAATGCTGTGGGGATTTATAACATTGTATTATATATGCATCACATAGAAATCGAAAGTTCACTTGACAGTGCTAAATGGGCTCATATCACAAAAGTCCCGGAATGATCCGAGCTGAGGATCGACAGTCAGCTGACTGCGGGCGGCTATATTTAGCAGCGCGTGCAGCGAACGTACATTGCCAGCACGAGCTGGAAGAAAAATACGTGCAGTTGTAGTATTTAAAGCTGTACTGAGTATTGAACAAGTCCACTGCAACATATAACCGCCTGACGGATGTAATCTGCAACGTTGCTGATCGTCTTAGCGTACCAAGACGGCATTAATCGTTTCTCATATCAACCAATGGTGCATGGTTAGCACTAGATTATTTACAGATGGCACAGAAGGAACCTGGAAACGCTTTCGACATGTTCAGTGAATGAGTGAGTGAGTGAGTGTTGTTTTACGCCACACTCAGCAAAATTCTAGCTATATGACGGCGGTCTGTAAATATTCGAGTCTGGACCAGACAATCCAGTGACTGACACCATGAGCATCGATCCACGCAATTAGGATCGATGACATGCATCAACAGAGTCAGCGAGCCTGGCCACCCGATATCGTTAGTCGCCTCTTACGGCAAGTATGGGTTGCTGAAGACCTATTCTACCTCGGTTCTTCACGGGGACATGACGTGAAGGCGCGACTTAGAGCTGAGTGAGTATGGTTTTACGCCTCTTTTAGCAATATTCCGGCAGTATCACGGCGTTGGCAGCAGACATTGGCTTCTCACATTTTACCTACATTATGTGGGCAATCGAACCCCGCGTGACGAGCGAACGCTTTAACCACTAGGCTACCTCACCGCCCCTCGACATGTTTAGAGATCATTGGAACTATTACACAGGTTTAGAAACTGCAAGAGAAACAGCAGGATAACCCGGACTATAAACCAAAACTTCCAAAAACAAACACGAAACACAGAAAATCGTACATCGAAACGTTGACAAATCAAACGAGAACTCAAAATATAAAGAAAATTGAAAATCAAATACATGGTAAAATCAACTGAGAGGTATAGTTTCTTTTGCTCCTCAGTATATTATATTACACTGTGTTGAAAATAAACTGTCGGGCAAAAGAAATTCTACCATAAATTTGGAAATTACTCGATTCTGATTGGTCAGAGAGCTCAAATCACAATAAATCCCCTCTGACTGAAACATCGGGTGGCCAAGACGTCTAAGGCGCCGCGATTCGCTGTGCAGAGTTGCGTCCTTGGGCACGCCAGAAACCTATGGTTGTGGGTTCGAATCCCGGTTCGCCCCGATTATGTTTTTAGGTTTGTCAGCACCATACCCATGCTCGTGGGTTTCACCGAGGTCTGAGACCTGCATCACTTCGGGCTTTCCTCCCACATTAAGCTGACACGCCGCGATGTAACTGGAATATTGTTAAAAGCGGCGTTAAACCCAACTCATTCACTCACTATATATATATATATATACGACTGTGACGTCATATCTTTTGCATCACAATGAGCGATGGTGGCGTGAAACGTAGAACGAAAGCTTTGCGAACCTTGCTTAGTTTTCTTCAGGTGCCCATCCCATGTTAGCTTACCAAGTTGCCATGCTTGTATGATTTCAGTGCTTGTCTTATGTTCGGGTGATGTATCACGGTGTGAACAAACTGCCTGAGCATATTCAGGTCCATATTTTGTTTACAGGCTGTTGTTGGTGATTCCGTATATTCAGATCGACCACCCACTCAAAACAATCGTCTCAACCCATGCCGCTTCACTCAATATATTTGCTAACACCAAAGAGTTTTTATTAAGACACGGTAGAATGGAGATGAACATACTGTGTTTTCAATGGAGAGCAGCGCGTTCGGTTCCAAAACCAATTTAGCGCTGTTAAATCTACAGGTAACCTAGGTCCACATTAAAAACACATTGTGTTTACCTCCTAAGTATACACCATGTTTCATGGCGGCTAAACATGAAACAAACAAGAAATGGTTTTTAGGTGGTCATGTATTTGATACAGGTATCATGGTTGTGTTGTGGATCTTAACTTTGCAGTGTTTCCGCGATTGTTTTCAGCCAAGTAACGTTTTGATAGCCTTTGTCAAATCCAATTTCAAGTGAATACTTTCTTTTTTTAGTTGATGTTATTTTATTCATCACGTATGGCTTGAATGTATAGTCAAATGTCAAATATTCATCTTTCACATTTTTCGAACGGCTTAAAAAAAATATGCTATCACTGCATCCTCAAATTATCGCAGGCTTGCCAGGATCGGCGTCCCTGGATTTATAGATCGATCTCTTTGATTCAATGAGGTGAACTGACAGACCGACAGTCTTCTAAGAAACCACAAAACAATTTCACTTTTTTACATTATATTATTGTTTATTTCTTTATCTTCATGCATTTCCCAATTCACACATGATGCGGGTGCACCCCCTGATGGTAACAACACGCTGTATCACAAAATACAATACACATACCTATAAATAACAGTGGCTATATACAAGAAAAAAAGGACGGTTTGGGTTGGACTATTTATATAATTAGAAGGAACTACTTCTTGGCAGCGGCAAGTTCCTTCTCTCTGGCAAGACAGGCCTCAACTCCCCTGCGCATCTCCTGAACAGCGTCGAACTCAGTCAGACCCAGTCGACGCTTGTTGGACAGATCGTACACACCACCGACACTCTCAGTGTGCTCGCCATGGATACCTGGATAACATGATGTAACACAGTTCTATAAGTAAAGGTAAATTCTTTATCACGCCTGCCTAAAATTCATAAAACTGGGTCGAAGTGATCAAATCTTTATTCGAAAGTTAGTCATGATTTGCGACAACAAACAAGCAGGGAGTCTACATATAGTGTCCCTGATACGAATATCTATCGGCTCGTGAAAAAGAATCGCCTAGCCTCAACGCTTACTTGTTGAAAAAGGGACGTTACTCTTAGTCTACAACTCTTATATATAAGTTCGCAAGGTATCAACGGTTATCTCCCATGCATTGCTATGCGCCCAAGCTCCTTCCCAGCGCGTGACACCATCGTTTCACTCTCGAACGGACTATCGCTGTGAGGAGCTTGACTATGCGCCATCTCCTTTCCAGCGCGTGACTCCTTCTGTACACTCGGTCGTTGCCACCAGTGTGGGCGTGGTCATTCCAAGAATCTTGAAATTTGCCCTCTAACCCCAAATGTAGTAACGTTTAATATATTATACTTTTGTTTATGTCTTTGGGAATGCTATCGAAGTGAATTTTGAAAAAGGTTTACGACTGACCAGATTTCCCAGCTAAATTTACCTTTTTGTTTGTTTGATCAGATTGGTTCAGATTGCGGACGAACGGAAAATCAAAATCAGCCAACTTCTCCCTTACTTTCATACTATAATATACCAATGTACAGGGGTAAGAGTATTCGGCGTCACGGCAATCATCACTTGTTTGTAAACACAACGGTCAAGTTATATGCATGTAAGTCCCAGCACACTGTTTTAGAGTTAAAAGATTCAACGGTGTAAACACACATTTAGGAAACTTGTCGGCCATCTTGATTGTTCTGCAGATTTGTCAAAAGTCGAAAACGTTCAGTAGTTGTGAATATCTTTTTAGAAATATTATATGGCTATTTCGCAACACCACACGTGCTTTTTTTTCATATCAAAACATTGAACCCTTATCTGAAATATGGAAAATATATTGATAATTGGTGGCCATATTAGATTATACAAATTAGACATATTTCCCAAACTAGGATTGCTTGGGAACCGGGACCTTGTAGAAAAGCATTGTGTTGCAATTTGTTACAAGTTGAGTGAGAAAATGGTCTAGATTGCCTGGACTAATATCGCTGTGAGGAGCTTGACTATGCCTGAAGCGATGTGCACTTGAAATCTGCCCTCATTTTTAATAACACAAAACTGAGATCTTACCCAAGAGAAACGATTCTATTTCCATTCTAAATGTTGAGTCTCACCTCTTGGCTGGATGTTGAGGTTCTCGCAGAATTCCTTGAAGTCAGGCTGTGCGGCCAGATTCGGGATCTTCATGTGCACGGAGGCACGGAGAGCTGTGCCCAAGTTGCTGGGGCAGAACGTCAAATACCCGAGACCCTTCCTCTTGGCAAATGAGAGACCGCTCCCCTGCATTGTCTTGATGGCCTGGAGATATGAAATAATTTCATAACTCAGTATCTGATTCTTCTACATGTGATACCATACAAAATTACCAGTTGGAATATTTCAAATACTGTTTTTTACATAGAGAATCTCACCCGAGTGTCTTTTGATATCATATATATCAACACAAGTTGATAAAAGTGGGAAAACTCCGAGGCTTTTTCCACTTTTATCAACGAGTGTTGATATATTTGATATCAAAAGACACGAGGGTGAGATTTTATTTATCATCCAACATCATTCCTCCAGCTTTTTTAGTTTGTAGAAAGTTATAAGCAGTGTTTAAGTGTAAAAAGTACTGCTAACAGTTTCAGTAGCACAGCCATTAGTGATGTCATTTGATTGTGACGTCATGGTAACCAATGGCGTCACAATGGTCTGCCAAGCATTGTGATGCAATTTCATTGCAGCGATATCTACAGTATAGATATCGCTTGATCTCACCCAAGCGATATCTCCTGTGGGAGCCAGTTTTGGATGATAAAATGCTTTCAATATATATTTCAGCAATATGACCACGGCCTATAAATAATTCTGGACCAGTGATTGACAATATGCACAACGATCTCTCTCATATGGAGTCCCATGACAAGCAAGAAATCGCCTCTACGATCAGCATAGGTTGATTGGACTTCGAACCTGAATAAAACCTGGGACTGTGGAGCGTGACAACCTAAGGCTGGGGATTCTCTATATTTGTAAAATGTATCCACAGCGCCCTTGAATGTTTCCTAGAAAGGAAAGGAAGAAACGTCCAACATTCCTTGAGAAAGGCGAGATCTGAGAATATATACTAACTGTGCAGAGTCGCTTGTAGACTGCGGCCAAGTCGCCGCCCTTCTGCATGGAGATGAGGCGGAGATGGTCCTCCTCGTTCACCCACACAAGGAAGGTCTTGTCGTTGTTGAAGAAGATGCCTCTGCCAGCGGGCCAGTTTTTGTAGCCGCCAGCGTCTCTCAAGAATCTGAAAGAGTTTTGTTTGATTTACAGTGAACGGTGTTTCCAAGAAGTCACAGAGACGACTTACGACAAGAATAAGTTTCGGGGGCCGGTTTCACTAAGCGGTCTTAACGCACGACTACCGCAAGCCCATGTTAACTTATAGGAGTTCATCATCTTGGCGCTAAGATTGTTTCGTGGAACGGGGTCCTTGAGCATCCTGGGTCTCTAGTGTAATCCCAACCAAGTCAGCATCCCGAAGCCTTACAAAACAGCCTCTAGTGCATACCCACCCCATTTAGCATCCCCGAGTCTTAGAACACAGCATCTAGTGCATCTCCACCCCATTTAGCATCCCATAGCCTTTAAACACGGTCTCTAGTGCTAACCCACCCCATTTAGCATCCCGGAGACTTAGAACACAGCCTATGTGTAACCCAACCAAATTTAGCATCACGAAGCTCCAGAACACTGGGCCTCAAGTGCATTCCAACCCCATTTAGCATCACGACCCTTAAAGTCGAAGTTGTGTAATTAATACCTGTCGTCATCTTTGAAGAGGAAGTGATCTTCTGTCATCTGTTTCTGGTCCTCCTTGGACATGCCGTCCAGAGGGAAGTACTTTCCGGCCAGCTCGCCAGAGAACTTCTCGAAGGCGGCCTTGGTGTCCTCCTCCATCTTTAGACATTGCTGTGAAATGACAAAGAACGTTTTTGGAACTAAACATTTTTTCATAAAGGACCTGTCAAATCATGGGATAAAATAATATATAGTCCAGAGTTTGTTTGTTTGTTTTTGTTTGTTTGTTGTTTAACGACGGTCTGTAAATAATCGAGGCTGGACCAGACAATCCAGTGATTAATATCATGAGCATCGATCCACGCAATTAGGTTCGATGACATGCATCAACCAAGTCAGCGAGCCTGACCACCCGATCCCGTTAGTCGCCTCTTACGACAAGCGTAGTCCAGAGACTGACCGGATTGTTCAATCATTTTCTAGGATATTTACCTACACGCAACACCTGTGATACGCTCAAGGAATTCAGAGCCTTATAGCCTGAAACTACCGTGTATTCCCTACATATTGCCCTCCTGCAGCACATGCAATATGTGTGTACGGCACAGACATTGGCCATGACACCACACAGTGTTCGATCTAACGAACTTGATTTGACTTGCACCATGTGCTTCTTGCCATGAAAACCTAATCAATTTATCTGAGTTGAAACGTGCACATAATCTTGAGGTACAAACAGTTTGATGAGGTCAAGCCCGCCTAAGCATGAGAAAGGGGATTATTGCCATGCTTGTCGTAAAAGGCGACTATGCTTGTCGTAAGCGTCTACTGACGGGATCGGGTGGTCAGGTTCGCTGACTTGGTTGATGCATATCATCGAATCCAAATTGCGTGGATCATGATTTCAATCACTTGATTGTCTGGCCCAGACTAGATTATTAACATACAAACCGCCGTCATAACGCTGGAAACAAACAAACAAAGGACAAGCATTGATTCCCTATTGGAACACAGGAACACTATGTTTGTTTGTTTGTTGTTTATTCCAGCTATATGACGGCGGTCTTTAAATAATCGAGTCTGAACAAGGCAATCCAAGGATTGACATCATAAGCATCGGTCCACGCAATTGGGATAAGATGACATGCATCAACCACGTCAGGGAGCCTGGCCATCCGATCCCGTTAGTCGCCTCTTACGACAAGCATAGTCGCCTTTTACGGTAAGCATGGGCTGCTGAAGACCTATTCTACCGGGGATCTCCACGGGTCAGGAACACTGTGAAATTACGTACATCCTTGGAAAGCACGGGTGGGAAGCCGTAGCTGTCATGGCTCCTGCCGACACGGACGCGGGTGGAAACGATGTAGTCGCCCGAAGGGTCAAGGTCACCGAAGCCCAAGTTGTCGAAATCGCCCATGTCTGGCTCTGGGTGGTCAAGCTTCTCGACCTTGTGGTAGTCCTTGATGACCTCATCGAGGACATCGGCGAAGACAGTGTAGCCCTCGGGGTCGCAGGCGTAGATGCCGACACCGCTGTCGGGGTTCAGACAGCCTGAAACAAAAGGTTTCAATCGCAATTAGGAAAATTGTGAGCGGTGGAGAACAACGTGACCAAATGTATGACCTCCATTCAGTAACTGAGGGGCGGTCGGGTAGCCTAGTGGTTAAAGCGTTCGCTCGTCACACCGAAGACCCGTGTTCGATTCCCGACATGGGTACAATGTGTGAAGCCCATTTCTGGTGTACCCCGCCGTGATATTGCTGGAATATTGCTAGAAGCGGCGTAAAACCATACTCACTCACTCATTAACTGAATACATTACGAGGAGAGGAGACGCCCTAGTGTTTCAGGTAGCCCCACCGAATCATTGTTTCAGTTGACCCACGTGTGTTTTACATACAGCTGGAAAAAGGTCTGCAAACGCCTGAGAGCCAGATGGTCCTATGTCCACATTTGACATTTTCTTTCCAAATGGGTGTTTTTCTAACATTGTTGTCAATTTCATAAAGCTCCTGTATTTTCAGTGATTCTATGTCCAAAAACTCCTAAGTTATCTATATACTTGAATGTTCTATGTCCATGTCAATGTCTGTGTGTCCAATCAAATTCTTGACACAGATAATGTGACAAGGAGATGGGACCACATAGTTCTAAGTCATTTGGAGATAGAACCATTAGGTTGTCAAGTATCAACTGTAGAATGATTTGGTTGGTTGGTTGATTTGTTGTTTAACGCCGCACTCTGCAATATTCCAGTTATATGACGGCTGTCTGGAAATAATCGAGTCTGGACCAGACAATCCAGTGATTAATATCATGTGCATCGATCCACGCAATTGGGATCGATGACATGCATCAACCAAGTCAGCGAGCCTGACCACCCGATCCCGTTTAACGACAAGCATAGTCACCTTTTACGGCAAGCATGGGTTGCTGAAGACCTATTCTACCCCGGAATCTTCACGGGTCAACTGTAGAATGTCAACACTGGGAGTGAATTTTGTGACCTGTCAGCTGAAATACTGAATACAATGTGATGACTTCATTACAAAAAAATAATTTCTCAAGTATGTGCTTTGGGTGTAAAATTTAGTCAAGAATAATCAGAATACGCCAATTGAATTTACTAATGGAGCTGTTACAGTATGGGTCTGAAAACAAATGTCCTAACTTCTTTGGTACTCTTACCTAAAAAAACCCACTTATCTGTAAATTAGAAGATGGATAAATACTTTTTATTTTAATAAAAAGCATATCAATTAATGTGCATTTGTTTCATGTGAAATAAATCATTAAAATGCATCTAGTTTTTATAAGTTTATATTATACAGCACTTCAAATTTAAAAATATTATTTACTGAAAACTTGTAAGAGGAGATATGACTTTATGGTTCTTAGGTGACCATATAATATAATTAGGGCGGTTCACTCAAACACTGTAAGCATATGCTGTTTCCAAAGCTAAAACTATTAACTAACCGAGCTAAATAACGTCTTACAGACTTACACTTCGATTATTTTCGGAATGCCATTATATGACAAAGATATTATTACCCTCTTGTGTTTCCGTTGGGTAAATATGACATATTTGGAGTTAAGAAAGCTCGCATAATATAATTTTATATTCTTAATAAGATATTTATGATAGGGAAACACACTCAAACTCAGCTAAATCTCTATTACAGAGCTACAGACAGCGTATTTGGCTATTTGCGTCCCCCCCCCCCCCCCCCCCCCATTTTTTAAAATTCAAAACCCAATTACTTTCAATCAACATGCGTACAGAAACGCATGCATTAAATGAAAAACTCAAATGCATTAAAACAGCACGCGTAAATACCCAATAAAGCTTTTTCTAGCTTTGCCTACAAAGGAGCTAATTTCCGAAACACAATTACGTGCTAATTTACTTTCAGAGTCAAGCCTATATTTATAACATTATTTTTAATCTTAAAATGTTCACTAATTTTGGGGAAAACCAGATAGAGTGATGAATAGATGAGTGAAACAATATTGGTTACCCAATGAAAAATGTAATAACCCAATTAAAATAGAAACCCAAGAGTAAAAACTCAATTGCTCAAAAAGCTATCTGGATCTCTGCAGACTGTACAAAGTTACAGGCTGCAAAATAACTGCCAGTGGAAAAAATGGAAATTTAGCCCTAGATTCCTTTTCAATTTTACCAGTGTTCTCGTTTACCGGTAAAATTATGCTAGGACCGGTAATTCATATGCCTGCCAGTAAAGTATAACTTGATAAATCTCATTATTAAATTTGGTATACTAATAAATGTAGCACACCTAATTAACAGTATGGAAACACTCGATGTGTAACATGACTCTTTTAACAATGTAAATAATGTCTTGAATACTATTAATTGAAATAAAAAAATAGATAGGTCTAAAATAGATAGATAGATCTAAATTGGACAACACGCACCTGTTGGACAATTAATTTTACACAAATCTGAATATTTCTAAATAAACAAATACAGTTATAAAATTGTACATGTTTTCATTAGAAAGCGTTTGTCTCTCTTTATTTGTTCTCAGAGTTATACAGTTATTTAATGAACAAAAGATGCGAAAGGCTCCTTTAGCGTGGCATTTAAGATTGTTTTCCACCCACAGGGTACATGTTATGATTTTAATATTTAAAAATAAACTATACTTACACTTCAACTTCTAAACGTATGGGATCCTATATGATATACTAAACTAAATATTACCAATTTCTTATATAAATAATGGTCAACAAACAGAAGATTATAAAAGTTTATGGATTTATATATATATTATATGTAGGAGTCCCAGGTAAAACAATGGTAGCCCCAGACACATATTGAATATAACAATATTAATTCAAGTAAAACAGCTTAATTCCTTGCTGTATTTTTATATTATATTTAATATTTAATGTCATATAAAGTTTTACGCATGTTTGTTTGCTTTTGAAGACGTACTCGAACTTGCTCTGTCGACATAAATTCCTAAACGTGTAGCTATGCCATGCTTTTAGGGACACACTTCAGTGGTCAGAAACTAACAGTTTTAGTCCACTAGTCCTTATAATGATAACATATAGCAAACCCCTTAAAAATGGCAAATTTCTACCAGTCCTTATGATGCCTTAAATATAGGGCAGTTTGGCAAGGACCATAGGACTAGTGCAAATTTCTAACGCTGTTGAATTCACCCTGATCAATACAAAGACAACGATCCACGGCAAGTGACGGAAAATAGTCCGAGGCAGCTAGTTGAAATAGATTTGGAATTCCTCAACCGAAACAAATGTTAGCACTAGAAGATCGTGAAACTTCTGATTGTGTATTGAATTTTTTAATGTGATGACGTACGGAATTCCGAAACTTACATTTAAAAAAATTATCAATTTTTTAAATAGCAGCATTCATTCCTGAACGTGCATGCAGACTTTCAGCGTCCTAGTGGATTGCACTTCTTTTGGGGCCATTTTGGGGCCATTTGTAACTTTTATGCCTAAATGACGTAGGGTTTCGTGTCAGTTAAATCACTGAAAGTTTAATAAAATGTGTGGCCTAGAACATTAAATGCACAACGTACAATTCACTGCGTAAAACATTATGTAAAACATACGCAACTTCTCCATCATGATTGAGACTGTAAACAACAGGGTAGAATGATTGTGTGTACTTGCATTCACTGGACCTTCACCTCAAATAAATAACCAAATATGTACAACAATGTCTATTACGTAAGACTACCGGTGACCAACTTTTTGCCTACAAAATGGCGGGTCACAGACAGTAGTGCGCGGGATTGTCGTTGATTCAGGGGTTGTATATACATGCATGTGGCATGTAAGTAATCAGACACATTCAGCGTATTGTTATTTGTTTGCATGGTTTGCATTGTATCCCAGAAAACATTATTCGGAAATACAGATAGGCCTCGGCCCTAAATACTGCATTGTTGTGTGTGAATTTACGTCAGTCATAGCGTCACACGGAAATAAAACAATATTAACAATAAACAATTTCTGTTGAATTTAGCAAATCATTGTAATGAATCTACTTTGGATTCTATTGTTCTTGCTACGATAGGCCTAGTCTTGCCAGGCATATCTTGGGCCATATTTTCACTAATGTAAGCCCAATGTATGCAACTAGACGAATCGATCTCCAAATATCGGAGTAAATGCTAGAGCTCGTTTACAGTAGAATTTTGCTTTGACGTAATTGATAGCGAATGACATCCCTTATCCGAGATTTTCCCGCAGTAGTCAAGTTTTATTCAACTACAAAGTGAGGGTCAAATTGGTCATAAAATTGTTCTTCGGCTTGTGGCATCCATGGGGGTAAAAGACGGTTACACCCTCAACTGTCAGAATACCATTTGACATTCTAACACTACTCTTGATGCTTTCATCTGTTTGGCTATAGCCAAATTATATATTTATCTATTTAAACATATTTATACATATTTATACATATTTTTATATATATTTATTTATAATTTATATATTATATATCATAATTTAATTAAATGTTCATTATTACTCGTGTGATTCAATTCGGGCTTGCTTGCTATCAGTTTCAATTTGCCTACCTGACTGGATGCAGTCTTTCAAACCTCCGCCGAACTTTGTCTTCTTGTCCTTGAGACTTTTGTAGCGTTCTTCTGTGAGATGTTTCTTCAGAAGAGATTTGCAGTTAGCTGCACTCTTTAGCTTGTTCCATAGTTCCTCCACCGAAGCCATTGTAACGGATAAACTGAACTAAAATGAAACTGAAAAGAATCAAACAACATGGACGTCCGATATCTCTTCTACTAACATGCACTTTGAACCAACGGCCGGCGTCGGCTTTTTTATAGTCACGTGCAGTACTGACGTCACAGACTGTTTGAATGACGTCACAACCCGACACAGGAAAGAATCGCATAAACCTGACAATAGGAAATGCTACCGCAGTATAATCTCGCCGTTGATTCATAGCTGCATCATACCTATCCTCGTGTTATGGGTTTTCGAGCACCTAATAACAAGTATTTTTGATTACGTGTCTCATAATACCAATACACTATAATTAGGTATTAGTTTACCTTTGAGAACATTTATTTCTGTAACACTTGGATGGTCAAATAAGCACGTCTTGTTACCGGTAATTTCATAGTGATAATGCCTCGTCTAGCGAGACGAGTCGATCTGGCGCCGTCATGTTACCGTGACATGACATTACACACATTGTTCTAAAGCAAAATTATTATCAGATCAAGTTTGATTAGAATGTGCAATAGTGAAAAAAAATGTTTTGAGGTATGTTTTTATTACCTATTGAATATTTTACCTCGCGTAGCTTCGTAACATATCTTCAGCGACATGTGACGAACACTTCAGTGCCGTAGCCAGCCGGGGGACAAGGAGGCCCCCCCCCCCCTCCCCGGATATTTTATAGAAAACTTTTTTCCTTGTGAAAGTTAGCTTGAATAAGAAATCCATAATCTTATTTGCCCCCCCCCCCCCCCCCCCCTGTCAAAAAAAGTTAACTACGGCCTTGCAATTTGATGCGTTCAGAGGGCTTTGAAGCGTCTTCCTAGATCACGTATATAAGCGCGAGGCTACATATTGTTTAGGGGATCGAAAAGAGGCGAGGCTCGAAAACATATGACGAGGTCAAGCGAAAGAAGAGACATCTGAAACAAAATTGAAAAAAAACCACCAACAACCGGCAAACGTCTTTCTGAGAGCGGGTAAACGCCTGCCTTCTGTACACGCTGCGCACGTGTCTAAGGATATTCCATTATAATTAAAACATGGGCGTTTCATCTTATATGCTAGTAATATGTCTTTTCAGGAATGTGTAACATATGTCTACATGGGTTTTGTGGAATAAACAGGATTTCTTTTAGAGAATATTTTGCATATTCATCGTCCAAACAACCATGGGATCTAAATGAATTTCGCTAAAACAACCTCTGACTAAATGTACTACATTGCAATGTTTTCCGAGATTCCATAGCACGATAATATCCCCTCTGGGCCAGCAATGATTTAGAAAATACAAACCTTTCGCTACTTTGATCTCAGTTATGGTGACAAACCATGACAACATTTTATATAACAAAAATTGCTGAAAGTTGCTCTTCGTGCCAAATTTTACATTAAAAAATGGGTACATTCTTCAGAAATATAAACATGTTAGTTACTATGGTATCGCAATGTGATCCGTTAACCATATCAATAAATCAGATTACGCGAACAGAACAAGTCTCACCTCAAAACTGGAAGAACCGTACGAAGAAACGAAGTGAAGTCTTGTTGGCTTCTTGTGCTTATATACTGGTCAGACCTTCGACACCTCTTAGTGTTTGTTCCAGCTAGCTGTAATATTACCCAACTCCTAGCTACTGATTAGCTGTATGGCGATCTCGTTCAGCGTATCCAAGGGCGCTCACGGTCAAAAGGACAAAACCTGATATACTCAGTTATAGCAGTTATATAATGTTGCGTCTGCTGAAAGTGTAGCAGAGAGCTTCAGACATATCAGTAACTCGCTCGTTGCTAGCTGTGGCCACACATATAGATGTATTCAATGTCTTAACAGCGATGCAAAAATTGACTGCCCAATACCAAATATTTTGACTAGAAAACTAGAGTAACGTTTAACCCTGACAATCACACACGTATCAGGGATACAATAAACACAACTGGATTGGTTTGTTGTTCTACGCCGCATTCAGCAATATTCCAGCTATATGACGGCGGTCTGTAAATAATCGAGTCTGGACCAGACAATCCAGTGATTGATATCATGAGCATCGATCCGCGCAATTGGGATCGATGACATGCATCAACCAAGTCAGCGAGCCTGACCACCCGATCCCGTTAGTCGCCTTTTACGACAGGCATAGTCACCTTTTACGGCAAGCATGGGTTGCTGAAGACCTATTCTACCCCGGAAACTTCACGGGTCAAATACAACTGGAACTGGTGGTCGAACTCTAAGAAACGTGATCTATGTCCTTATTTATTAAATTCAAAATGATACCCATGTTTGGTATATGGTGGCTAAAAATTAGACAAACAAGAAATTATTATTCGATGGTGATATTTTTGTCCTAATTGTGTTTTGGACCTTGCGTTTGCAGTGTTTCGGCGACTGTTTTCAGCCTATGAATGGTTTGATAACATTTGTTATCAGTTGGTGAAATCCAATATTCATGTGTTTGCTTTCCTTTGCCCTGCGGTTTATATGCCTCAAAATCCACGGCTCAGGTAAATGACTGATAAAGGACAACAAACAATTTGAAACTATAGGTTTTAACTATAACGTTTATTGTGTAGGTAATTGTAATAATAACAACGATAAAGCCAGCTTATATTACATACTTTTGCATGTTACCATTATAACGATTCTTATATATACTTAACAAATGTTCAAAGCAAAGAATAGAATAGACACACAACCTCACAAAATGAAAGATGAACGTTTACAGATAGTATATATATATATATGTCGAATAGATGAACGTTTACAGATAGTATATATATATATGTCGAATAGATGAACGTTTACAGATAGTATATATATATATATATGTCGAATAAACAATGGTGATAAAACTGATCATAATAGCTTGATAACTGCTGACCATGCAGTTAAGGGAGAGGTTGGGGGTGGGGGTGTAATTGTGCTGACTGTTTAAAATCAGAAAGTGTCATCCGCATAAAATACATATTGCATATAATATTGCATACAATATTAATCATGTGGTTTTCAGGTTTTATATGAAAGGAGAAATACCTAGACTCGAACCCCCCCCCCCCCCCCCCCCCCCTCTATCTTTATAGTCGGTCCCCTAGAGACAAACACTAATGCAATGCTGACATAACGTCCATCAGTGCGGGGCATGTGTTAGCACAGCATTACTCCCCCCCCTCCCCCCCCCCAACATACCTCATGGTGAACCCCACGAACTTTACCTCAGCGTCATCTTGACCCACGGGGTCGAGATATTAATTTAGTTCACGTAACGTAAGGATGATAATCATGCCTCAATATTCTAAAGTTGCCACTGTCAAAGGGATATATGTAAATTTACATTGGTTACCTTCGCGTACTATAAGACGTGTCTGGTTTTCTCCCAAACTTTAGACCCCGTCTTTTCTCGACGGGATGAACTAAAGAGGAAAGAGTAATGGGAAAGTGCATGTTCTCATTTAATGGTTCTAGATTATTGTGTCAGAAACAATATAGTTTTTAAAAATTTAAAGAAAAAAATACAACACGGTACTATTGCCTACCCGGGGCCGTATCATATATCAAATAAGTTGATTATAATTAAGGACAAAAAAGTCATTTCATGAGATGCATCATTTTCTAGAGTCAAAAGTGTCCACTAGCCTACATATCAGAGGCTAGATGGGGTTCCACCCTTGCCCTTTCAAGCCGACTTTTCTTGGCTCAAAGATATCTATGTACGTCTTTGCTTGCCTCGATCGCGGCGTCACCCCGTATATAGAGTACGGATTGTGTCCCTTGTGATGTAAAAGCGATGTCCAATCAGATCGCTGTTCTTATTTCGAATGGTTTCACAAAGATGGCGACTACCATATAGAAGACGCTCTGGCCGGCAAGATAACGAAACGATTCTGACAGATAAACAAAATGACAGATTACCACACAGAGTGTAAAGATACTTATTACTGCCGCATGTCGCTCTTACTGTTGGCCTATTAACGGCCCCCGGACTACACAGTATCAAACAACCCAGCGCATCGCAGCAGAGCATGCTTCACTAAAAATAACACTGCACACCAGTCACTGCGTTAAGAGTTCAGTCGTGCGAGTTAAAATGCAATGCAGTTTGCACACAAATATATAAAAGGCACTAACTACTTGGGAGTGTTGATTCAAAACTTGTAAAGACTTCCAAAATATTAGTCTTTGCTTAATTGTCGGAATAATTTCAGCGCAAATTCGACAAGCTATGACTGTGGTCATAGCAGCGGCCATGTTTTCCGAACCCGGATGTTGATTTTGTAAAACCTTCTCCGATTGGACTATGGATAGGCGCAATGGTACTCTCCCGAGCGTACTTCTGTACATTTTACCGAGAAAGGGACCAAATCAAGTATTCTGATACTCCAGTTATATCCGTGTCTCCTACAGCATAACTCCGCACTACCTTCTGCCAGTGCCTGTCACGACCCATTAGAGTAGGAGCGGTCCACGGACGTATATACGTCTTTGAGTGGTCCTACTAAATAACGCCCGGGGGTGTCCGGAACCGTCCGGGTGCGTCCGGGCGGCGCCAGGGATCGTCCGGGAGAATGATACTTAATAATAAAGTGTATTCTACATCTTTGTGTTCTTGTATTAATTATACAAAAATAAAATATAGCTTGAAATAAATTACATACACCCCTATTCTTTTTAAATGGTGAATGCGATTTCATTTTATTCAAACTGACGTGGTGGTCGTAACTTAGTCTTTGAAGGATACAATGTAAATTTGCTTATGGAACAAAAATAATGTACATTTATAGGGTCATATTCTGTATACTATTTCATAAGTAATATTGAAAGACGGACGTTTTCAAAAGTTCATGCGTGGCCCCAGATGGTTCACTGAGTGTAAAACGTCCGGTACTATAGCTTCCATGCGGGCAACACCGAGTAGGAGTGTATTCTGACCAGATGACCACGCCAGATACGCTGCATGCGACTATAGTGAGCAACTCTCCAAGGTTTGCATAATTATGTAATCAACCGTGGGTAAACGATAACATGGTTGAAACAGAACATCACAATATTATGAAAACATTCATAATTTATTATTGCTTTGTAATTTGAAACTTGTGCCATAATGCTCGAGAAAGCTGCTTTCTGATTGGCTAATGTCGATATCTTGGAAGTAACTTTGACCCCGAAAGGTCGTTCTGACGTGACGTGTGATGGAATGCTCTGATATCTTTGTTGAGCTGTAAAGGATCTGATGTTAATGAAACTGATTTAATCTAAGCGGGTCTGTTTTAGCACATAACAGTCGGCTTGAAAGGACAAGTGTTTAAAAGTAGACTTTGATCAAGGCTAGAGGACACTCTTTCCACTGGGAGATGGAGATTAATATGCAGATGTATTTTCGGTCAACAAATAAACGAGTGTTGATGTGACGGACTTTATAAATGCGTGTCGTGTTATCTAAACGTAACTGTGCTTAGCAACTGAAAGGTACAACCACCCAAATCATTTCTGTCTAAATATCACACAAGAAAATAGTGACGCAGAGCATCATAATGTAACCGCATCATCGAGGCATCATAATAATTATTATGATGCATAATAAATTTGATAACATTGCAAACAAAAATAATTTGTACTCTTCCGCTTTTATAGAAGAGGTAGTCTAAATCGGTGGCAAGTGAAGGTGAGGTGAATATTTGTTTGTTTGTTTGTTGTTTAACGCCGCACTCAGCAATATTCAAGCTATCTGACGGCGGTCTGTAAGTAATCGAGACTGGACCACACAATCCAGTGACTGATGTCATGAGCATCGATCCTCCCAATTTGGATACGATGACATGCATCAACCAAGTCAGCGAGCCTAACCACCCGATCCCGTTAGTCGCCTCTTACGACAAGCATGGGTTGCTGGAGACCAATTCTAAACCGGATCTTCACGAGTTGATATGTGTGCGAGCCTGACCACCCGTGAATAAGTTACAACATACAGTAAAATTGTAATACATACAATAATACTCGCGTAATTTATATGTATTTATTCTGATTCTGTATTCATTTGCTAAAGGGGGAGGTCGAGTAACAGGAGGCGGATGTTTGGTAGCTATCTGTAGACTGATCCTTGCGTTTCTTGGTTGCCTCCAGTTCCTTCTCTCGCTGGAGGCATATTTCCACGCCCTTGCGCATCTCCTCGACGGCCTGAAACTCAGTCAGACCCAGACGACGTTTGTTGGAGAGATCGTAGATACCATGAAAACCTTCGGTGCGTGTTCCGTGAAAACCTGGTGATTGTCATAGATGGAAGTAAATTGGAGATGTCATTGCACGCACACAATTGTCATTTGCCACGTTTTGGCTCGTTTGAGAGTGAGTTGTGTTTAACGCCGCTTTTAACAGTATTCCAGTTATATCGCGGCGTGTCAGCTTACTGTGGGAGGACAGCCCGAAGTGATGCAGGCCTCAGACGTTTACCTCTTCGGTGAAACCCACGAGCACGGGTATGGTGCTGACAAACCTAGAAACATAATCGGGGGGAATCGAGATTCGAACTCACAATCATAGGTTTCTGGCGTGCCAAAGGGACAGAACTCTGCACAGCGAATCGCGGCGCCTTAGACGACTGGGCCAGCCGTGCCCCCGGCTCGTTTTAGAAAAAAGGTCCATAACGCTGTAGCTCACCTGATAACAGATGGTATTCATTCACACGAACGAAATCCCTTGGATGAACACTCAGTGCAACGGCACAATTAAAGCCAATTCGATAGGACAATTGCAAGTTCACAGACGTCTAACAATTGTAGCAGCGTACTGTTTATCTGGAGTTCGGTTTCATCTAACATGACTCTCTCAACTACGACCTATTGTCTCTAGCTCTTGCTGATTCAACTGATCCACAGAGTTGGAAAAATTGGAACTAAACAACAAACCTAAATCGCCAACTTTACCCAGTCACGTGTCGTGGGACGAAACTGTTTCATGTGTCGTGGGACGAAACTGTTTCATGTGTGGGGGGACGAAACTGTGTCGTGTCGGGGGACGAAACTGTTTCATGTGTCGGGGGACGAAACTGTGTCGTGTCGGGGACGAAACTGTTTCATGTGTCGGGGGACGAAACTGTGTCGTGTCGGGGGACGAAACTGTTTCATGTGTCGGGGGACTAAACTGTTTCATGTGTCGGTGGACGAAACTGTGTCGTGTCGGGGGACGAAACTGTTTCATGTGTCGGGGACGAAACTGTTTCATGTGTCGGGGGACGAAACTGTGTCGTGTCGTGTGACGAAACTGTTTCATGTGTCGTGTGACGAAACTGTTTCATGTGTCGTGGGACGAAACTGTGTCTTGTGTCGGGGGACGAAACTGTTTCATGTGTCGGGGGACGAAACTGTGTCGTGGGACGAAACTGTTCATGTGTCGGGGGACGAAACTGTGTCGTGTCGGGGGACGAAACTGTTTCATGTGTCGGGGGACGAAACTGTGTCGTGTCGGGGGACAAAACTGTTTCATGTGTCGTGGGACGAAACTGTTTCATGTGTCGTGGGACAAAACTGTGTCTTGTGTCGGGGACGAAACTGTTTCATGTGTCGGGGGACGAAACTGTGTCTCGTGTCGGGGGACGAAATTGTGTCTTGTGTCGGGGGACGAAACTGTGTCGTGTCGTGGGACGAAACTGTTTCATGTGTCGTGGGACGAAACTGTGTCTTGTGTCGGGGACGAAACTGTTTCATGTGTCGGGGGACGAAACTGTGTCTTGTGTCGGGGGACGAAACTGTGTCGTGTCGTGGGACGAAACTGTTTCATGTGTCGTGGGACGAAACTGTGTCTTGTGTCGGGGGACGAAACTGTTTCATGTGTCGTGGGGCGAAACTGTTTCATGTGTCGTGGGCAGAAACTGTGTCTTGTGTCGGGGGACGAAACTGTTTCATGTGTCGTGGGACGAAACTGTGTCACGTGTCAGGGGACGAAACTGTTTCATGTGTCGGGGGACGAAACTGTATCGTGTCGTTGGACGAAACTGGGTCAAATGTCGTGGAACGAGATTGTGTCTTGTGTCGAAATTGTGCCATATGTTGTTGGGACGAAACATATGCGGTCTCGCTGGACGAAAGTACTTGGCATAATTCTTACATGTCAAAACCTCCCTCTCTCTCACGTACCTCGAACTTGTAAGTGGAGATTCTCGCAGAATTTCCGGAAGTCGGGTTCGGCAGACAGGTACGGAATCTTGATGAGGACGGAGGCGCGGAGAGTTGTGCCGAGGTTGGTCGGACAGAACGTCAGATAGCCGAGACCTTTTCTTTTGGCGAATGGCAAGCCGCTTCCCTCCATTGTCTTGATTGCCTACACATATACAATTGCAACACTGAGTGTGAGTCTTCAAACAAATATATATAAGAACAGTTAGAACTGCCCACACACATTAAGTGTGTCACGTGTTGTGTCACGTGTCATCGTTCGTGTGATGTGCATATATGCAATGTGTCGTGTGCCATCTGTCGTGTTATGTGTCGTGTGCCAGGTGTAGTGTACCCTGTGTGCCATCTGTCGTGTTGTGTGTCAAGCTATGTCAAGGACATCCCCATGTTAAAAAAATAGTGTTGACAGTTCTTAAAATACCACAGAACGAAACTGTTCATCCACGTTAGTTATATCCAAGGAGGGGACACGGGTGGCCCAGTCGTCTAAGGCGCACGATTCGCTTTTGCAGGGTTGCGTCCCTTGGGACACACTCTGGACACACGAGTTTGTGATAGCAGTCAAGTACAAGCTATGGACACACGTGTTGGGGATAGCAGTCAAGTACAAACTATGGACACACGTGCTGGGGATAGCAGTCAAGTACAAACTATGGACACACGTGCTGGGGATAGCAGTCAAGTACAAACTATGGACACACGTGTTGGGGATAGCAGTCAAGTACAAACTCTGGACACACGTGTTGGGGATAGCAGTCAAGTATAAACTATGGACACACGTGCTGGGGATAGCAGTCAAGTATAAACTATGGACACACGTGTTGGGGATAGCAGTCAAGTATAAACTATGGACACGTGTTGGGGATAGCAGTCAAGTATAAACTCTGGACACACGTGTTGCGGATAGCAGTCAAGTACAAACTCTGGACACACGTGTTGCGGATAGCAGTCAAGTATAAACTATGGACACACGTGTTGCGGATAGCAGTCAAGTATAAACTATGGACACACGTGCTGGGGATAGCAGTCAAGTATAAACTCTGGACACACGTGCTGGGGATAGCAGTCAAATACAAACTCTGGACACACGTGCTGGGGATAGCAGTCAAGTGCAAACTCTGGACACACGTGTTGCGGATAGCAATCAAGTGCAAACTCTGGACACACGTGTTGCGGATAGCAGTCAAGTATAAACTCTGGACACACGTGTTGCGGATAGCAGTCAAGTATAAACTCTGGACACACGTGTTGCGGATAGCAGTCAAGTACAAACTCTTGACACACGTGTTGGGAATAGCAGTCAAGTACAAACTCTGGACACACGAGTTGGATGTGATATGTAAGTATACACTATGGACACACGAGTTGGATGTGATATGTAAGTATACACTATAACCACACGAGTTGGATGTGATATGTAAGTATACACTATGGACACACGAGTTGGAGGTGATATGTGAGTATAAACTATGGACACACGAGTTGGATGTGATATGTAAGTATAAACTATGGACACACGAGTTGGAGGTGATATGTAAGTATACACTATGGACACACGAGTTGGAGGTGATATGTGAGTATAAACTATGGACACACGAGTTGGATGTGATATGTAAGTATACACTATGGACACACGAGTTGGAGGTGATATGTGAGTATAGACTATGGACACACGAGTTGGATGTGATATGTAAGTATACACTATGGACACACGAGTTGGAGGTGATATGTGAGTATAGACTATGGACACACGAGTTGGAGGTGATATGTAAGTATACACTATGGACACACGAGTTGGAGGTGATATGTGAGTATAGACTATGGACACACGAGTTGGATGTGATATGTAAGTATAAACTATGGACACACGAGTTGTAGGTGATATGTGAGTATAGACTATGGACACACGAGTTGGATGTGATATGTGAGTATAAACTATGGACACACGAGTTGTAGGTGATATGTGAGTATAGACTATGGACACACGAGTTGGATGTGATATGTAAGTATAAACTATGGACACACGAGTTGTAGGTGATATGTGAGTATAGACTATGGACACACGAGTTGGATGTGATATGTAAGTATAAACTATGGACACACGAGTTGTAGGTGATATGTGAGTATAGACTATGGACACACGAGTTGGATGTGATATGTAAGTATAAACTATGGACACACGAGTTGTAGGTGATATGTGAGTATAGACTATGGACACACGAGTTGGATGTGATATGTAAGTATAAACTATGGACACACGAGTTGTAGGTGATATGTGAGTATAGACTATGGACACACGAGTTGGATGTGATATGTAAGTATAAACTATGGACACACGAGTTGTAGGTGATATGTGAGTATAGACTATGGACACACGAGTTGGATGTGATATGTAAGTATAAACTATGGACACACGAGTTGTAGGTGATATGTGAGTATAGACTATGGACACACGAGTTGGATGTGATATGTAAGTATAAACTATGGACACACGAGTTGTAGGTGATATGTGAGTATAGACTATGGACACACGAGTTGGATGTGATATGTAAGTATAAACTATGGACACACGAGTTGTAGGTGATATGTGACTATAAACTATGGACACACGAGTTGGATGTGATATGTAAGTATAAACTATGGACACACGAGTTGTAGGTGATATGTGAGTATAGACTATGGACACACGAGTTGGATGTGATATGTAAGTATAAACTATGGACACACGAGTTGTAGGTGATATGTGAGTATAGACTATGGACACACGAGTTGGATGTGATATGTAAGTATAAACTATGGACACACGAGTTGTAGGTGATATGTGAGTATAGACTATGGACACACGAGTTGGATGTGATATGTGAGTATAAACTATGGACACACGAGTTGTAGGTGATATGTGAGTATAGACTATGGACACACGAGTTGGATGTGATATGTAAGTATAAACTATGGACACACGAGTTGGAGGTGATATGTGAGTATAGACTATGGACACACGAGTTGGATGTGATATGTGAGTATAAACTATGGACACACGAGTTGTAGGTGATATGTGAGTATAGACTATGGACACACGAGTTGGATGTGATATGTAAGTATAAACTATGGACACACGAGTTGGAGGTGATATGTGAGTATAGACTATGGACACACGAGTTGGATGTGATATGTGAGTATAAACTATGGACACACGAGTTGTAGGTGATATGTGAGTATAGACTATGGACACACGAGTTGGATGTGATATGTAAGTATAAACTATGGACACACGAGTTGTAGGTGATATGTGAGTATAGACTATGGACACACGAGTTGGATGTGATATGTAAGTATAAACTATGGACACACGAGTTGTAGGTGATATGTGAGTATAGACTATGGACACACGAGTTGGATGTGATATGTAAGTATAAACTATGGACACACGAGTTGTAGGTGATATGTGAGTATAGACTATGGACACACGAGTTGGATGTGATATGTAAGTATAAACTATGGACACACGAGTTGTAGGTGATATGTGAGTATAGACTATGGACACACGAGTTGGATGTGATATGTAAGTATAAACTATGGACACACGAGTTGGAGGTGATATGTGAGTATAGACTATGGACACACGAGTTGGATGTGATATGTGAGTATAAACTATGGACACACGAGTTGTAGGTGATATGTGAGTATAGACTATGGACACACGAGTTGGATGTGATATGTAAGTATAAACTATGGACACACGAGTTGTAGGTGATATGTGAGTATAGACTATGGGCACATGAGTTGTAGGTAGCATGTAAGCATAAACTCTGGACATTCGAGTTGGGGATAGCAGTCACGTACAAACTCTGGACACACGAGTCGCCTGTAGACTGCGGCCAAGGCGCCACCCTTCTGCATGGAGATGAGACGGAGATGGTCCTCCTCGTTCACCCACACAAGGAAGGTCCCATGACAAGCAAGAAATCGCCTATATGATCAGCATAGGTTGATTGGACTTCGAACCTGACTTAAACCTGGGACTGTGGAGCGTGACAACCTAGGGCTGGGGATTCTCTATATTTGTAAAATGTATCCACAACGCCCTTGAATGTTTCCAATAAAAGAAAGGAAGAAACGTCCAACATTCCTTGAGAAAGGCGAGATCTGAGAATATATACTAACTGTGCAGAGTCGCTTGTAGACTGCAGCCAAGTCGCCTCCCTTCTGCATGGAGATGAGACGGAGATGGTCCTCCTCGTTCACCCACACAAGGAAGGTCTTGTCGATGTTGAAGAAGATGCCTCTGCCAGAAGGCCAGTCGTTGAAGATGCTGGCAGCTCCCAAGAGGCTAAAACATGATAATTTGTTGTATACGATCAGCCGAAGTAATAGTTAAATGAACAGAAAAAGTAGTAATCAAGACTCTTTTATTCTGTAATAAAGGCCTCCAGCCCAGAGTACATGTGTATATAATCAAGTCACAACAATTTTAAATTACAAACAACAATTACAATCATTAAGAAAAGAGCTACTATAATCATCAAAAGTAAGTGAAGCACTCGTAAACTATATATAAAGTTGTCTCCCTTTAACCTCTGAGATAAACCTGCCTTGCCTTTGTGCATTTAACAATATACAGTGCTAAAGATTCTGACAAAGAATTATCTGTCATAACTTTCTCAAATTTGTCGAGAGTACAAAGATTACTAGTGCAAATACTTGGCAAAAGCATATTTCTGAATTTGTTATACAAGTAACACGATGTAATAAAATGCACTTCATCCTCCACAATTGATACACTCAGATTATCAAAACAATATTTACATACTCTATCCTCTCTAGCAACTCCTCCCCACCGCCCAATTCCAACAGCCAGTTTGTGGTTACCACATCTGAATCGACTAAGAACAATTCTTAAATTTTTACTCTTCATATTGTGCAAATACCTTTCAGGCTCCAACACTGATTTGATAATGGAATAATTATTAAGCTTACTTGTTTCACTTATAGATAGTGCCCATGTTTGTTTCCAACAATCCTGAAACCTTTCCCTACAAATTCCGGGTTATGTCACCAACACCCTGTTCAAACCAAACTAGACCAAATCCAAGTAAGTTCAACAGATATTTTATTCTAGTTGCCCATGTGGCTCTACCAGCCCCATCTAACTGATATAACATCAGATAGCAAGCCTTAGGATACCTATTCGTGGACATGTTTAATATTTTCAGCCAATACTTAATTGAATTGAACATGGTTGTTACATGTAATGGATACCGTCCTAGCTCCCCATACAAGACTGCTGCTGGATTGTTTGAATTAACATGGAGAACCTTTCTAAGAAATTTGCAGTGCACATTTTCTATGACTTGAACACTTTCAAATCCCCAAACACACGATGCATAACATAAGACTGGAGAAACCATCCTATCAAATAGAAACAAGGACTCTTTAATGTTAAGCTTAGACTTTTTCAAGAATCCAAACAAAATATACAGAGCTTTTTTCTCCTTGCTGTGCCAGGGTACTTCTTGCCAAACTCCATGAGAGCTCAGAAGTGAAAAACACACCAAGATACTTATAAGCGGATACTGCTTCCAGAGGAATACCATCATAATGCCACTTTTCCTTTTTTGTTACTATACCACCTCTTCGGAATACCATGACTTTCGTTTTCTCCAAATTAACCCTCATCCCATACTGACTGCAAAATCCTGCTGGACAATCTACCTGGTGCTGTAACCTTCTAACAGAATCTCCAACATTAGCAATATCATCTGCAAACATTAACAAAGTGATGTTTTCAGCATACTCATTGACAAAAATACCCTTGCAATCATTAAACCTGTAATTATCTACTAGCTCATTCAAAAAACAGAGTGAATAACAGTGGGCTTATCATACACCCTTGCCTGGTTCCTATTGTACACTCAAAGAACTCAGACAGTGAGGACTTGTTAACTAGAACACATGATTTTAGCTGACTATACAGAGATGAGATAACTGTGAAAAATTTACCTTTTACACCTTTTTGTTAAGTTCATATTTCAATAAATGGTGCTGGACGCTGTCGAATGCCTTCGAAAAGTCTATGAATAAACAATAGCAGCGCCCTTTTGACTTGGAGAGGTTTTCCTGAATAACTGATTGTAATGCAAATATATTGTTTATGGTGCTATATCCATTTCTGTAGCCAGCTTGTTCCTCATACAGCTTTTCTTTGTCTTCACACCAGCCAACAAGTCTATTACTTAGTATTTTGGTAAAGGCCAATGACTGACAACAAAGAGATTCCCCTATAATTATTAGGATCTGTTTTTTCACCTTTTGTATGAATAGGAAATATTATTGCCTCTGTCCATTGTGATGGGTAAACTCCAACAGATAATATTTTGTTAAATAACCTGTGGATATATGGTAAAAGTACAGGATATACACTTTTTAAATGTTCATTTAAAATTCCATCAGGTCCTGGCGCTTTGCAATTGGGGAGATCATTAATTACAGATCTAATTTCCTCCATAGTAATAGTCTTATCTAAGACTTGTACACCCTCAACATTGTCACAACAGGCTGTGTGATCTTCTTAATCCCTGATAAACTTATGTACATGTTCACAGAAGTCAGAGTCAGTATCAAAGTTACTGTTGTTGAGCAGTGATGAAAAATGATTATACCATTCCTCTGGTGAAATTGCTTCACTGCCAGACCTCCCTTGCCTGTTGTAGCGTTTGATGAATTTCCATTAGTCCCGTGTGGTCACACCCTCATTATTTATCACCTGCATTACATCTGGTTTATCCGCCATGTCATATCTGGCTTTTTTGTTTGTTTACATGCATTCTTAAATTTATTTCTTGATAAAATGTAATTCTTGAAGTTAATGTTAGAACCAGATAATCTAAACTTGTCTAAACACTTATACGTTTCACCTTTGAGAATCTCACATTCATGGTCCCACCACTTGGGCTGACTAGGGGAGCGCCCCTCGGACCCCTTATTTGATTTCATACCACTTAAAATAGCACATTTACAAATAACTTCAGGCAAGTTGCTTACTGCCGCATTAATGTCATTATCATCCAGATTCTTTACACATGTCATTTGCAGCTCGCTGTTGCATGTTTCATTTACAAGTTGGTCAACATATAGCTGGCTGGAGTTTGGTTTCAAATTTAGCTTATTCCATGACTTTATCTGCTGGCCTGTCTTGTGTGGATTAACTTGAGGGATTAAAGTAAGTCTACATGTCACTGGTAGGTGATCTGATTCTGGTATGACAAGTATGTCAAAATCTGAAACACTTTTGTACAAACTTGTAGAAACCTAGACATAGTCTGTACAATACACTCTTTCCAGTATGTGAGATGAAAGTGAAATTACCACACCTATCTCCTCCAGATCTTCCATTTAGCATGTGTATCCCCATCACTCGACATAGCGATAGTAGTGATCGTCCAAATAAATTCACAACATTATCCTTGGATATTCTTCTAATGTTAAAACAGTCAGTATCATATTCTGCATCCAGGTATGTGATGTCATCATCAATTATAAAATCTTGCTCAAGTCCAACCCTCGCATTCAAATCACCTATTACAGTAAACTGTATATTGTCACCATACTCAGATATGACAGTCGTTAGTTGACTCCGGAGGTTCTCAATCCCATTTGTCTCATCTACAGTCCTGTATCACGTTGAACTTTCTGGAGGGATATAATTGAAACACAATACTGTTTTCATGTCAAATGTACAAGTGGTCCCATCAAACAATAAGAATATTCCATTTGCATAATGTGCGCATATTCTCTGGAACAAATCGGCAATGTTTTTCCGAACATATACACATATTCCCCCAGCTACACGCCCTGAACCCGAGTACTCCCTTGCAGTTCCATAGTGAGAATATCCAGGTAATAAGTCTGAGAATTCAGTTTCTGATCTACTAAAAGTTTCATACAACCCAATAATGTCAAATTTCATAAACATATTCACAATATCACTATTTACAAACTAACCCACTAACATTCCATGAGAAAACATTCAGACTTCCAAAATCTAATTTACATGTACTCTGGCCTTGGCCGCACCCCTATTCCTCCATCCACTGGGGTAAGGGTTTCCCATCCTTGGCACGTATTCCTGTTTCCATGTCGAATGTGTATATTCTGCCAGCAACCACGATGGTATCATACCTCATAAACATCTTTTCTGATTCGCCGAGGTGGTAACGGGCTTTCTCGAGATATGGATAAAGTTTTTTGCGCTTGGCCCTTACCATATCGCTGAAATCCTCTTTCAAGAAAACAGATTGTTCACCTTCTTCGCGCTTTTTCTTCCGAAACTGCCCAAGGGCAAGTAGTTTGTGTTAAAACCTCATAAACTGAACACATATTGGCCTTGGCTTGCCATACTATTCTTTTTCCCCAACCTACGCGTACTTTCGATTGGTAATACATCATCGTTCATGGCATTCTCGATTCCAAGATCATGTTCTAGAATGTGTTTTACTTTATCTCCTGTCTCTGTCCACAGTTCTTTCTCGCTTTCCTGGGATTCCCATGATGATTACATTATAAAAAAGTAGTAATATCGATAATTGAAGTAGTAACATCAATTATAGCAGGAGTAACATCAACGGAAGCCATACTAACATCAACTGATGCAGTAGTAACATCTACTGAAGCAGTAGTAACATCAACTAAAGCAGCAGTTACATCAACTGAAGCAGCAGTAACATCAACTGAAGCAGTATTAACGTCAACTGAAGCAGCAGTAACACCAACCGAAGCAGTGGTAACATCTAATGAAGCAGCATTAACATCAACGGAAGAAGCAGTTACATCAACTGAAGAAGCAGTAACATCAACTGATGCAGTAGTAACATCTACTGAAGCAGTAGTAACATCTACTGAAGCCGTATTAACATCAACTAAGCAGCAGTAACATCAACTGGAGCAGCAGTAACATCAACTGAAGCAGTAGTAACATCAACTGAAGCGGCAGTAGCATCTACTGAAGCAGAAGTAACATCAACTGAAGCAGTATTAACATCAACTGAAGCAGCAGTAACATCTACCGAAGCAGCCGTAACATCAACTGAAGCAGTATTTACATCAACTGAAGCAGCAGTAACATCAAGTGAAGCAGCAGTAACATCAACTGAAGCAGCAGTAACATCAAGTGAAGCAGCAGTAACATCAACTGAAGCAGTAGTAACATCAACTGAAGCAGCAGTAACATCAAGTGAAGCAGCAGTAACATCAAGTGAAGCAGCAGTAACATCAACTGAAGCAGTAGTAACATCAACTGAAGCAGCAGTAACATCAACCGAAACAGTAGTAACATCAAGTGAAGCAGCAGTAACATCAAGTGAAGCAGCAGTAACATCAACAGAAGCAGTAGTAACATCAACTGAAGCAGTAGTAACATCAACAGAAACAGTAGTAACATCAACTGAAGCAGTATTAACATAAAGTGAAGCAGCAGTAACATCAACTGAAGCAGTAGTTACATCAACTAAAGCAGCAGTAACATCTACTGAAGCAGTAATAACATCAACTGAAGCAGTATTAACATCAACTGAAGCAGCAGTAACATCAACGTAAGCAGTAGTTACATCAAATGAAGACATATTAACATCAACCGAAGCAGTAGTAATATCAACAGAAACAGCAGTAACATCAAGTGAAGCAGCAGTAACATCAACTGAAGCAGTAGTAACATCAACTGAAGCGGCAGTAGCATCTACTGAAGCAGAAGTAACATCAACTGAAGCAGTATTAACATCAACTGAAGCAGCAGTAACATCTACCGAAGCAGCCGTAACATCAACTGAAGCAGTATTTACATCAACTGAAGCAGCAGTAACATCAACTGAAGCAGCAGTAACATCAACTGAAGCAGTATTAACATCAACTGAAGCAGCAGTAACATCAACCGAAGCAGTGGTAACATCTAATGAAGCAGCATTAACATCAACTGAAGAAGCAGTTACATCAACTGAAGCAGTAGATACATCAACTGGAGCAGCAGTAACATCAACTGAAGCAGTAGTAACATCTACTGAAGAAGTATTAACATCAACTGAAGCAGCAGTAACATCAACTTAAGCAGTAGTAACATCAACTGAAGCAGCAGTAGCATCAAGTGAAGCAGCAGTAACATCAACTGAAGCGGCAGTAACATCAAGTGAAGCAACAGTAACATCAACTGAAGCAGCAGTAACATCAACTTAAGCAGTAGTAACATCAACTGAAGCAGCAGTAACATCAAGTGAAGCAGCAGTAACATGAAGTGAAGCAGCAGTAACATCAGCAGAAGCAGTAGTAACATCAACTGAAGCAGCAGTAACATCAACCGAAACAGTAGTAACATCAAGTGAAGCAGCAGTAACATCAAGTGAAGCAGCAGTAACATCAACAGAAGCAGTAGTAACATCAACTGAAGCAGTAGTAACATCAACAGAAACAGTAGTAACATCAACTGAAGCAGTATTAACATCAAGTGAAGCAGCAGTAACATCAACTGAAGCAGTAGTTACATCAACTAAAGCAGCAGTAACATCTACTGAAGCAGTAATAACATCAACTGAAGCAGTATTAACATCAACTGAAGCAGGAGTAACATCAACTTAAGCAGTAGTTACATCAAATGAAGCCATATTAACATCAACCGAAGCAGTAGTAATATCAACAGAAACAGCAGTAACATCAAGTGAAGCAGCAGTAACATCAACTGAAGCAGTATTTTCATCAACTGAAGCAGCAATAACATCAACTGAAGCAGCAGTAACATCAACAGAAGCAGCAGTAACATCAACAGAAGCAGTAGTAACATCAAGTGAAGCAGCAGTAACATCAACTGAAGCAGCAGTAACATCAACAGAAGCAGTGGTAACATCAACTGAAGCAGTAGTACCATCAACAGAAACAGTTATAACATCACCTGAAGCAGTAGTAGCATCACCTGAATAAAAGTAACAGTAACTGAAGTAACAATTATAGCAGCAGTAACATCAACTGAAGCAGCAGTAACATCAACAGAAGCAGTAGTAACATCAACTGAAGCAGTAGTACCATCAACAGAAACAGTTATAACATCACCTGAAGCAGTAGTAGCATCACCTGAATAAAAGTAACAGTAACTGAAGTAACAATTATAGCAGCAGTAACGACAAACAACAACAGGAAACAGTTGGTTAGTTGTATACAGCAAATCACAAAGTAGTACCTATCCTCGACCCTGAACATGTAGTGGTTCTGTATCAGGTGGTCCTGTTCCTCTCTGCTCATGGTGTCCAGAGAGTGGTACGTTCCAGCAAGATCCCCAGTAAGGTTCTCGAGAGTTGCCTTTGTGGTTGCCTCCATCGCCAGACGTTTCTGAAAAGGAATACATTGATTCGTTAAAGTACCGTAAATCCTCGATTTGCGGCATATAACATTAATGATGATAAATCTTACACCTAGCGACACCATTTGAGTTGATGAGCCGGGTTTAAAGGTATTTGACAAGGTATTTGACAGGTATTTGACAGGTATTTGACAGGTATTTGTATAATCATTGCAAAATGGCGGAGGAAGCCCGAAGTGACGATAACTGCTTTGGTGAAATCCATGAGTCAGGGTATCCTGCTGACAGAACCGATACTTATCTCAGAAAGGAGGCAATTTCATTTCCACTGAAAAAAACATTATTTCTGACAATCCAGCGTTTTCAGGAAACTGTGATTGCACAGTCTTGAACAGTCTTATTGTGCATTGTACTGTATTGAACAGTCTCATGGTTCGTTGTACTGTATTGATCAGTCTCATGGTTCGTTGTAGTGTATTAAACGGTCTCATGGTTCGTTGTACTGTATTGATCAGTCTCATGGTTCGTTGTAGTGTATTAAACGGTCTCATGGTTCGTTGTACTGTATTGATCAGTCTCATGGTTCGTTGTACTGTATTGAACAGTCTCATGGTTCGTTGTACTGTATTGAACAGTCTCATGCTTCGTTGTACTGTATTGAACAGTCTCATGGTACGTTGTACTGTATTGATCAGTCTCGTGGTTCGTTGTACTGTATTGAACAGTCTCATGCTTCGTTGTACTGTATTGAACAGTCTCATGGTACGTTGTACTGTATTGATTAGTCTCGTGGTTCGTTGTACTGTATTGAACAGTCTCATGGTTCGTTGTACTGTATTGAACAGTCTAATGGTTCGTTGTACTGTATTGAACAGTCTCGTGGTTCGTTGTAGTGTATTAAACGGTCTCATGGTTCGTTGTACTGTATTGATCAGTCTCATGGTTCGTTGTACTGTATTGAACAGTCTCGTGGTTCGTTGTACTGTATTGAACAGTCTCATGGTTCGTTGTACTGTATTGATCAGTCTCATGGTTCGTTGTACTGTATTGAACAGTCTCGTGGTTCGTTGTACTGTATTGATCAGTCTCATGGTACGTTGTACTGTATTGAACAGTCTCATGGTTCGTTGTACTGTATTGAACAGTCTCATGCTTCGTTGTACTGTATTGATCAGTCTCATGGTACGTTGTACTGTATTGAACAGTCTCATGGTTCGGTTTACTGTATTGAACAGTCTCATGGTTCGCTGTACTGTATTGAACAGTCTCATGGTTCGCTGTACTGTATTGATCAGTCTCATGGTTCGTTGTACTGTATTGATCAGTCTCATGGTACGTTGTACTGTATTGATCAGTCTCATGGTTCGTTGTACTGTATTGATCAGTCTCATGGTACGTTGTACTGTATTGATCAGTCTCATGGTTCGCTGTACTGTATTGATCAGTCTCATGGTACGTTGTACTGTATTGAACAGTCTCATGGTTCGGTTTACTGTATTGAACAGTCTCATGGTTCGCTGTACTGTATTGAACAGTCTCATGGTTCGCTGTACTGTATTGAACAGTCTCATGGTTTATTGTACTCTCTTGAAGAGTCTTGTAACGAGTCCGTGTCGTTCAAAACAGGCATTTTCGCGGGTTGTTGAGTTCAAGAGATGTTAAATAAGAGAGAATGATATTGTGATGTCACTTCCGAAACGAAGCTGTGATTACTAATTGGTCCCGGGCATTTACCTTTAGAGAATAGAATCCGTGGCCTAGTGGATAGAACGTCTGTACGGGGAGTGTGTGAGTGAGGTATCCATGTTAAACAAAGTAATATAAAACATATGTTGGGACTAGTCCAAGCAACCACACACACACACACACACACACACACACACGCACGCTAGTCCCTATGTAAGTGCAATAATCTTGAAAACAACGTTCACATCACATCACCACAGAATGGAAAGATACACTGGATTGTTGAAGATATTAGCAGTGATCGTAATTTGATGGCTTGATGAAAAATAAACTTCCAAAGTGGAAATAGATTCTGTTTTTTCCTACCATTAACACCACATCCTACCTTTTTTGTTAAAACGGGCGGAAAGCCATAGCTTTCGTAGTTTCGTCCTACACGGATGCGGGTAGAGACGATGTATTTGCCAGTAGGGTCAAGGTTACCGAATTTCAGATTTTCAAGGTCACCTAGGTGAGGCTCTGGGTGATCCAACGTTTCGACATTGTGGTACTCCTTGATGACGTCATTGATGACGTCGGCGAAGATGGTGTAGCCATCGGGATCACAGGTGAAGATGCCTACCTCACAGTGTAGATTCATACACCCTACAAATAACACAAATGTAAGATATATTCTTGTTCATTTCCTGTTACTTAATATAATTGAAAAAACAAATCATTCTCATCGAATTATCCAGAGGGGGTGGGGAGGGTGGGTGGGGGATGGGGTTGGGGCTGGTGGTGGTGGTGGGTGGGTGGGTGGTGTGGTGTGGGGTGGGGATGGTTGGGTTGGAGAAATCTATGATTGTGGGTTCGAGTCCCGGTTCACCCCGATTATGTTTGTCAGCACCATTCCCGTGCTCGTGGGTTTCACCGAAGTGGTAAGCGTCTGAAACCTGCATCACTTCGGGCTTTCCTCCCACATTAAGCTGACACGCCGTGAAATAACTGGAATACTCTTAAAAGCGACGTTAAACCCAAGTCACTCACTCACTCACTCTCTCTTTATGCGGCGGGGGGGGGCCTGTGGCCTTTAGTCCTCGCCACTTGAAATAGAATCACGAAAAATCGCGATGATTAATAAACGAAGACAGCTGCATGTGTGCTAATACTTATAAAGCGAAAACAAGCCATTCCGCCGATACGTAATATCGTAACGGTAATGACAAAAACATGCAAAGTGAACTTTCAAGAAATATCCATTTTCTGGCGATGAACATCATCGTTGAGTTTTGATCACGTGGTTACAATCCATGTAAAGGTGATTACAACCCTAGTCGTCGAAAAGCTGGAATATTGCTGCGTACGGCGTTAAAAAACAAACAAGCCAACAGGAAAGTAATGTATGTTGCTTAATGTTTATCATACTAACTGTATGTTTATTCAATACACAAATGATGTGTAATTGGTCTGGATAATAAGGTTAAGATGCCAGGCCGCCTCTTACCAATACGTATGAACACTGACTGTTAAGGTTAACCGGTTGTGACAGTTCAACCATAACCCATGACATGCTGTCTGATTTTGTATAATGTATATTGAATATGGACAGTAATTATTCATGGTACAGGTAAGTACTACTGAACAAAATATATATACATTTTTTATGGGATATTACACAAACCTCAGTTCAATATCAAGATATTGTTGCGAGTGAAATATTTTGTAGTTTGCCCGAGGTTTACTGAATGAAAACGGAAAATAACGTCATGCTACTGGTGTAAAATATAAATATGCAAACATTCTGTTCAGTAGTGTTCAAAGAGTTGCGGCTCAATGATTACATTGCAAACTGTATATTCATACCGTATTTCCATCATCATAAGGCCACATGGTCATGGCGTAATTTGTGAATAATTCGTTAAAAACCATAGTTGGTAATCAACAGGGTACAAAACTCATTATTCAGTTTGTTACAATGGGAGTGTAGTTAAATTTCCTATAATTAAAATTATTACCCAAGGGGTAAAACATATCGGCGTGCGCATTTCTGATATATGTACAGTATTCATGTCACTCTTCGGGTCATTCTAGGCGTTTGAGTGTCTGATTGTGACTCTTGACGTTCACGGGAGGATCACATTCATTGCGTTTTATTCACACTGATATTTTAACGCTGGGAAGGTGAGGTGAGGTGAAATGGGGTTTAACGTCGCGTCCAAGATTATTGCACTTATATAGCGACGTGCATGTACGTGTGTGTGTGGCTGCATGTACTAGTCCGGACTGATGCCGATTTATAGTGCTAGCACACTGAGATACCATGCCGCAGTTTAACATGAATACCCAACTCAGACACAGTACACTCCGAGCCGACCAGTCCTTGTTTTAGCCCCTTAACGCCGAGCGCCAGACAGGGTAACAACAAGTACCATCTTTTAACGTCTTTTGGTATGACGCGATCGGGGATTGAACCCCGCACCTTCCGCTCTCCGGGCGGACGCTCTACCACTAGACCACGGAGGCGGTTAACGCTGGGAAGAAATGTATACCATGACATAGGAACAGAAATCGAATATGCACATTTTCTACCACCATGTGTTAGACAGTTGGAGGATACGCTTTCATATGGCGAAATTAATTTGCTATTATATATATACGAATGCTACCTATACGAACGCTTCTCATTTGAAAGTACCACCAAATATTGCTGGTCGCAAGGGAAGACAAAATGTTTGATAGCGTGTCATTGTACACGGACACCGTGGATCGTTGCTCATAATATCAACCACTGGCTTTATTTACAACTGGCATATTGCTGAACATAAACAAAAGCAGAAGGATGGATATTTTTTATAAGATAGGTCATATTAGTGGCGAGCAGTTATTACATAAAAATATGGTGTTATCCAAAATTATATTGTGAAATTACAGTTTTAAACAGTTTTAAACATTTATTGCAAACGACAATGACTTTGGGACATCCATATTGGCACCAGGGTCGGTCGGGTAGCCTAGTGGTTAAAGCGTTCGCTCGTCACGCCGAAGACCCGGGTTCGATTCCCGACATGAGTACAATATGTGAAGCTCATTTCTGGTGTCTCCCACCGTGATATTGCTGGAATAATGTTGAAAGCGGCGTAAAATCATACTCACTCACTCATATTGGTACCACTGTCATATCAGCATGCATCGTGAGGAAATTGGGTTTGACCCCGTGTATTCTCATTATTCCACTAGGTCGCAGTTTAATGTGGAAGGAAAGCCGAAAGTGGTAAAAATGACGGCAGCCTGCCAATTTTGGATGCATGCCGCCTGAACACGATTAAGCACCATCCACCAGGTCGCACATTGTAGCCACTGAACCTCATAAGTAGTTGGGGCGGTCGGGTAGCCTAGTGGTTAAAGCGTTCGCTCGTCACGCCGAAGACCCGGGTTCGATTCCTGACATGGGTACAATGTGTGAAGCCCATTTCTGGTGTCCCCCGCCGTGATATTGCTGGCATATTGCTGAAAGCGGCGTAAAACCATACTCACTCACTCACTCTCTCATAAGTAGTTGATTACAATCGTAGGGTGTACTGGGGCCAGATTCGATCATATAACCCGCCCTGAAACAGGTGACTGCAGTCTAAGGCGACATAAACTCCCTAACCCCTTACCTGACCGAATGCAGTCAGCTAGCGTTCCACCAAATTTGGTCCTTTTATCTTTCAACTTGTCAAACCGTTCTTGAGTGAGGAACTTCTTTAGAAGCGACTTGCATTCATCCGAAGTGGCATCTGATAGACACATCCACAGATCCATGAGGTCTCCATTGCCAGAGGTAATATTTTCAGAGCTTCCTATGCAGCCCTTGTCCATTTTGATACCTAGCAATGAAAGATTCACGCTCTTGTTTAAATATGATTGCTTGTGGCAAAATATTGATTGTTCTGCGTCGTAGAGCGTGTCCGATGCTGATGCTATGACGTAAAAAAACCAATTGTGACTTTAATCTTTGCGAGGTGAGTCAGGTGCACCATTGTACGGATTACCTACAATATACCACTTTAGTGCAATTTAGTGTTCATATTGCATGGTATCACATAAACCGATGTAACACCATGTCCAATGTTTCTGTAACGCGACGACAGCTATTGAAGAGGAACTGTTTATGCTTAATAGGCTTTATGGCTGTTTATTATCTATATAATTTGATGTCTAGCCCAACTAAATGTGAGAGTCACGACTTTTCCGAAACTCGTTTTGTAATATGAAAGGCACGTGAACTAGTGAAACTGTCCAATTCCAATTCCAGTATGTATTCCTCTCAGTGCTGACTGAGATGACTTTGGGGATGGGGAACTGTTTTCTGGCTCTTGTAATGTACAGGAAACATACTTGTATGTCTGACATTTGGTGTACACGAACCTATGTATTAACTTGAATTTAACTATGTTATGATGCGTTGGTATTTACATCCGTTACATGGCTACACTCATTTGTGAATAACTTTGAGATTCTTTATTTCCTCCAGATTTCAGTTCGAAGATTACAAACACATTTTAACAGGTTTACAACATATTTACACACAATACAAACACCTTCTAAGAGCATCCGTGAAGCAGTACATTGAGATCAGTTGTAACTACAGTACACAGAGCTAGAAATAACAATCCAGTTACGGTTTAAGAGAAAACAAGAAATCAGGAAAGTTGACAATAGTGTAGTGTTGGTTTGCCCATCAATTCTTTGACTGAATGTGATATTACCGCCGAGCAAGAATGATAGGTCTTCTTTATCTTGCATTTCAAAATTTACAATCGTATTCACATCAAGAGCATCAATACATATTGAAAAGAAACCGTTTCTTTGACACAAGATAGATTTACAATGTCATGTGCGTGTGACACAAGTTACGTTCAATAGACTGTTTGGGTCGTGAGGAGATATTAACACACAGTTGAGAAGCCAATATACATGTAAGGTTAGTCTTGCATGAATATGTCTGTAGCGGATAAGCCTTAATTAACTGAAACATTGTGAGCCCATTGCTTTCCTGCGTAGCTAAAGACTTCTCTGTTGACTATATTAGTCAACAGGAGAGAGTGGGGATCCCATGGGTAGGCCGTGTATCTGTTGACAGTACTCGTCGCCCCAGGTGAAGTAGAAGAGGAGATACAGGCGGTGGTTAGGGCGATGATAGATACTGTGGATAGGCTAGTTTCAAGAGGAGTTTCAGTGATGCGACGGCGGAGAATTTGCAGAGTGTCATTTATGGGTACGTTGGTGAAGAGGTCTACTACGTTGTAACTGATGATCTGATCTGGATCGGTGATGTTCTTGAGTTTGGAGCAGAAGTCCGTGGAGTCAGAGGTGAAGGAGGCGGCTGTTTTTCCTAAGGGGGCAAGGATTCTGGTTAGGTGTTGGGCCGCTTTGTAGAAGACAGTATCTGGGGAACACACAAGTAGACGGGCTTTAGGAGGTTCTTGTGGATTTTGATGATGCTCTGGCAAAGGGTGGTTGGGGGTGATTGGCGGAGAGTTGGTGGTGAAGACCTTGGCTAATTTCAAAGTTGTCTTTTAGTTGTTTGAGGAGGGTTTTATGTTGGCGAAGGAGTTTGGCAGTTGGGTCCTTCTAGATCTTGGAGTAGGTGGTGGGGTCTTGGAAGATGTTGTTCACTAGCTCATGGAAGTGGACAGTGTCCATGATGACTGTAAATCAGCCATCTCGGACCATATCAGCAACTGTCCTAATCACAACATCAACTGGGACAACGTCCAAATCCTCTACAACAACCTCCATGATTTCACTAAAAGAAAACTAACAGAAGCAATCCACATTCGCCGCGTCAAGCCATCAATCAACAGAGATCAAGGCTATTTCATCCCATCCGCCTACAATGAACTTATCAAGCAATAATCACTTAAAAATGCGAGAGTAATAACTAAACTACAAACAGGCCACACTAAGTTAAACTCCCACCTACACCAAATTTTAAAAAAAAACCAAACCGGTAAATGCCCCCTATGCAACTTAAAAGAAACGCCTGAACACGTAATACTATGTTGCACACATTACCAGCAACACAGAACAACACCCCAATCCACACTAAATTGCAACAATCAAATGACATTAGCAACGGTACTAAACACCCTAAATGACTTATAAACCTTTAAAAAGGTTGCATACAAAAAACAAAAAAAATCAAGAAATGGGTATATTTGGTATCATTTTGTAGGAAAATATGTCCTGAATCAAATTACGCAATAAAAAAAACAAATCACTACGGCATTTTTTAAATAAGTTGCGACATCAAGAGGCACCGGATGATAAAATCATTTTGCCAATAAAATGGTCATTTTAAAGTTTGATTATTAGTGAGTGTTTTTAAATAGACATATTACAGTATTGACACAAAACAGAAAAATGAAAATTCAAGTCAAAACATTTTTAATTTCACACATCATTTGACTTAAAAAAAAGCACATTTTCCAAAAGAATTGATTCATCAGTCAAAAAAGCATTTGACAAAATCAAGATATTTTTCAAACTGGCTTATTTCTAATGTTTATTCATTGTAAAATAAAATTATAAAATAAAAACACATGTTACCAGAGGATATTCAAATTATTTTCAATCAACACAGCATACCCCTAAAATAATGAATCAGGGGAGGTAACTCTTGCCAAAATGTACATTTCTATGAGTTCATTTTGGTGAAAGTACAATTAGCCGCGAGCCAAAGGGACGTAACCGCATTACAAATACTCGCCGTTACATGCGCGTCCGGTATGCGCGTGAACAATGGTATCAAACGTCTTTAAAGCAATAGGCATATATCTAATCAAAACAGGCCTACTTGGCCGCATTTAAAAAAAAAAGTACAACAAAGAAGCGGCCAATAAACCCTAAGTTTCTAAACCTATAAAAACACACAAACTCCTTTTAGTCTCCCCCTCAAACCTTTTGCATGGCATATTTCAAAATTCTAAATTTGTTCTCCAAATTAAGTAAGCAACCCTAAAAACCACCACCTAGGTTGCCTCACCTTTTCGGACATACCCTTTTCAACCAAACACCAAATGGCCTGGCAGGCCCGTGCGCGAAATACGCATATGTCGGAAAGCGCACGTCTACACACGTCAAATTCCTAATTCAAGTGAGTAAGTAACCCTCATTCAGTCTTGCTTGACAACGGTATACGGATCTACACTGTATACCGAAACGTCGCTTTTTACAGTATTAAAGAAGTTGTTATCCATAAAATTGTGTCTACCTTGTCATCCGTCAACTTCTAAGTAATGCCTATCGAACAACTTTGTCTACTTTGTCTAAAATACGTGATCCACATTGCAAACAGGTCCCTTAAAATAAAATAAATATTGTTGAGTCATACTTTAATCTGATGATTGTGTTTTACCTTCGATAGCTTCTGATGTGAAATAATAAAAATATGAAAGCGCTCTTCTGAAGCGTCCGCCTCGTCTGGTGATTCATAATTCAAATACAGGCGATCTTGCAATTATATACAGCCGCAGACTCATTGGTGACTTCTCAGTCCGCCTACAGCTCATTCTGCCTACACACGATCCGCCTACAGCTCATTCTGCCTAAACTCATTCTGCCTACAGCTCATTCTGCCTACACCCATTCTGCCTACAGCTCATTCTATGTACACTCATTCTGCCTACACTCATTCTTCCTACGCTCATTCTGCCTACAGCTCATTCTGCCTACAGCTCATTCTGCCTACAGTCATCCTGCCTACAGCCATTCAAAGTACACTCATTCTGCCTACAGCTCATTCTGTGTACACTCATTCTGCCTACAGCCATTCTATGTACACTCATTCTGCCTACAGCTCATTCTGCCTACACTCATTCTGCCTACAGCTCATTCTGTGTACACTCATTCTGCCTACACTCATTCTGCCTACAGCTCATTCTGCCTACAGTTCATTCTGCCTACAGCCATTCTATGTACACTCATTCTGCCTACACTCATTCCGCCTACGCTCATTCTGTCTACACTCATTCTGCCTACAGCTCATTCTATGTACACTCATTCTGCCTACACTCATTCTGCCTACACTCATTCTGCCTACAGCTCATTCTATGTACACTCATTCTGCCTACACTCATTCTTCCTACGCTCATTCTGCCTACAGTCATTCTGCCTACACCCATTCTATGTACACTCATTCTGTCTACACCCATTCTGCCTACAGCTCATTCTATGTACACTCATTCTATGTACACTCATTCTGCCTACACTCATTCTTCCTACGCTCTTTCGCCTACAGCTCATTCTGCCCACAACTCATTCTGCTAGTCCTGCACCATGACCGTGGAATATATTTATTTTATGAAAAAAATAATAATCTAGAAACGCAAGTCTAGCCAGCTCAAGCTAGTTCTATTCCACATCTAAAATCAGCATAGGGAATTTATTATTATTTTGAGAGTCAAGAAGGATATTGTATAATATAAGATTTCAGAGACTATCATTCTGCTTACAGCTCATGCTATCTACACTTATTCTGCCTACACCCATTCTGCCTACACTCATTCTTCCTACACCCATTCTGCCTACACTCACTCTGCCTACTGCTCATTCTATGTACACTCATTCTGCCTACACTCATTCTGCCTACGCTCATTCTGCCTCCACTCATTTTGCCTACAGCTCATTCTGCCTATACTCACTCTGCCTACTCATTCTGCCTACACCAATTTTATGTACACTCATTCTGCCTACACCCATTCTATGTAAACTCATTCTATCTACATTCTTTCTGCCTAGACTCATTCTTCCTACGCTCATTCTGCCTACACCCAT